AGTGGTGGGTGCTGTCTTAGTCATCTGCAATGCTCTCTCGTCTCCGATTCTGCTCTCTCCAATGAGCTCTGGACCGATAACTTCGTATCCTTCTGCTCCGATGGTATTGTGTAATTTCGAGGGTACCTGGGTGAAGAAGGCTACTATAATTTTTCTATAAGTTGTTTCTAAATCTTCTTCATTCTCAAAATTAACAAACTTCTCCATGTAGTCCACAATGCTGGCTAACTAACTTCTGACTAACTTGAACTAACTTGAAACCTATCTTTAGTTTTCTCAAATTCTAAACAAATAAATCTAGATACAATGCAAGACGTGCAAAAAGGATCTGCCTCCTGGAACGCCATTCTATGAGGTGGACCGCTCGCCGAAGTGCAAGAGCTGCTACAAGGTTCGTTCCGAAATTTGTTATTGTGATATCGTCTTTGAATCGCGCTTCTGTTTCTGAACCATGCCTGCAATAAAGTTGTGGTATTTGCGTATTGATATGTAGCAAGGGTTTCGTAGACAGCGAAATCCACAGACTGACTTTCAATTCCCTTTCAGGCAGACAAGCCTGTTCCGAAGTTCGCCTCGAAACCGGTAAGTTCACACCAAATTATTGCACAACATTTTGAAAGAGACGGCATTCTCTGGATCGTTTGGTTTTTATGAGTCAAGAGGGACCGGTTCCTAGAGTACAGACTTAAGGGTAGATCGGCCTAACTCTTTAGTTGTGAGGTAATGCTCCCCAGCATAAGCAGATGAAAATTGATGGACTAGTAACGAAGGAAGCAAGTATACTGTAAGAATGCAGGCGTTCTTACAGTATACTTGCTTCTAAAGTGCGTCTATACTTATGAAACGGTCCATTTGGTAACAAACCGTTGAAAAATACCCAATTTTTCTCCGATTCAAATAAAACCTGTCTCACAAAGGTTTTCCGGCACGCTGATTACGATATTAACAACCCTTTTTGTCACGGATATCGTTAAACTTTGATGACAGCTTTTTTGAGGGTGCGTCTATACTTATGAAACGCACTGTAGTTTGTAGCAAATCCTAAGTCTACCAAGATGGCAGTGGAAAAAGGAGAAACGCGGAGTGATTCTTCTGGATTGATCTTTCTGACTCACCAGAAGAATCACTCAGCGTTTCAGAAATCAAACATTTGTATCATAATCTCAAATCTCCGACAATCGTGGCGTCCCTCACAACAGTTGTGCCCGTGCATACCTATCATTTGATGGACTCGACTGAACTCTACAACAGGGATACTGTAAGCGATTTGCTCTACGCAGTTCTTTTCCAATCCTAATAAATACAAAGACGATAATTTCCAGGTAAATTGCAAGAAATGCAACAAGAACATCCCTACTGGGGCACCATTCTATGACGTCAATAATGCACCGAAATGCAAGGAGTGTTGCATCGTACGTTATTCTCCTACAGAGACAATGAAATAGCTGAAATTCGTCTTTTCGTTTTCTCTCAATTGTCACACCTTAGCTAGCTTTCGGCTGCAGTGAGCAGCACAAGTTTCTGTAACGGCTTACCTGGGAATTCATATGAGGTTCAACTTCATCTTTCAGGAAGACGGCGTTAAACCAGCTCCCAAGAGCTCTACGACACCGGTAAGCGATTTTTATGGTAAATGAAATAGCTATCAAGTTTGATCTCGTTCATACTGATGAAAATTCTTCCATACGCAAGCGATCTACATCGATGGCGTTGAGCAGCTCCAAACACTGGAATCATACTTATTTGGGAAATGTGCCAAAGGCTACTACTTGGGAGGAATTCTTACGGAAGATAGTGTCTTCAGGTACCCTGTCAAAAGTGCAAGAAAGATATACCGGCTGGGGCTACGTTCTTCGAAGTGGACCATGCACCAAAATGCAAGGACTGCTGCACAGTGCGTAATCCTACAGTTTTCAAGAGGTTTCAGATACGGTGACTGTAATTGTAACTTGAGACTTGCTGAATATAAGATGCTAGTTTTGCGTTTTCGCAGCATCTTGCTTTCAGAACGATGGCACCAGGACAGCTCCAAAGACTTCGTCAAGACCGGTAAGTGTGCACATGTCCATACTGGCTCCGCCTGGTTGGCTATCAGCCTAATAAATCACACACTGAGTTCTTTTGGAAGTCTCGGCTAACTAACTACTGCTCCGCTCAGCATCCTTTTATGTGAAATTGTCTCCTGAGTATTTTGTCAAAGTTTAGGTACCTTGTCAAAAGTGCAAGACAGAAATACCTGCAGGGACGCCGTTCTATGAAGTGGATCACGCACCAAAGTGCAAGCGCTGCTGCGCTGTAGGTTTTCTAATATTTGATCCTCGGAACGTACGTATTATTTTGTTTGTGAAGTTAGGGCCCCCTGAAACTGGTTCCCGTTGAGTTGTATTATTTATTTCCAGAAGTTGTCAGTAGATAGCCCCTAAGATATCACAGAAGGAATCCCATGTAGAAGAACCTGATTACGTGATTGAGGAACAAGCTCTTGCTTATAGCGACTAAGCGTTACGCGGTTCATTGCTGTGTGCGTT